GTATAGATACATACATATATATACATACATACAGGCATGCATATATAAATACATATATACATACATATATACATACATACGTACATACATACATATATATACATATATATATATATATATATAGATATAGAGATATATATATAGATATAGATATATATTATTTGTATATATATATATATACATGCATACATACATGCATACATACATATATATATATATTTCTATTTCTATTTCTATTTATATTTGTCCATATTCCCTTTTCCAAATACGCTGTTGACTTACATTCGCAGATATTCAACGTCAGAGTTCAGTTCGTTGCTGTCCATCTACGGTGTGGTGATGCTGATGGCGCACTGTGTTCTAGTGCCTGTTCTCACCCCCAGACTGGGTGAGAGACGTGTCATACAGATTGGTCTATTTATGCAGGGATTGCAGGTAGGGTGGGATCAGAAAGCTGCACTAAAACTTTGCTTGTATTTTGTATAATCTTGTATATCTATGTACAGATGGCATGCTCAATAGTCAGTCCTTCATCGCATAAGGGTGTGAATGGCGATTTTGTAAAGGCTATATCGTATAACTAAGCATATAAGTTCGCTTTACTCGCCAAACCCTGCACATTCTTTCTTATGTAATATTTTGTTTTAATTGAGGGGGAATAAAAGCCGTGGCATCAAATATAAGGGGTTTATGGTTCTCCACTCAGGACCATGACTAGGTTGTCTGAGCCAACACCTTTCTATTGATACTTCTAAAATCTTCTTTCCTGCCGGCAGATGGTCATGTTTGGGCTAGCACAGACGCACTCCATGGTGACGCTATCCACGATTCTGGTGCTTGGCGGCACCTTGTACGCACCCCCCGCCGGTTCCATGGTGGCTGCTGCCATTCCCGATGAAGGGCGTGGCAAGCTACAGGTAAGTTTTACTAGTTCAAGAAGGTACATGCTCGTCCATCACATACATGTAAATTTCATTCAAGTAATGAAGTCTTATATGTGCGTGCGCTTTCCATCACTTTGTTGTTTGAGCATACGTATATCCAAG